TATTATTTGTTTTCTGTTTGTTTCCCCTCTTAATCATTCCTTTCTTTCTCTTTTCTTGCCTTCTTATGGGATACTGAACATTGTTTAGAATTCCATTTTGATTTTTTATAGTGTTTTTGAGTATAACATTTTGTATAGTTTTCCCAATGACTCTCTGGGTATTACACTATACATACCTAAGGTATCAGAGTCTATTGATATAATTTTAGCACTTTGAGTGACGTGTAGAAACCTTACTTCCATTTAACTCCCTTTACCACCCCCATTTACAAAATATAACTGTCTAAAATATTTCTTACACATACATTTAACACCACATCAGACAGTGTTACAAGTTTTACTTCAGTCACCCAACATACATAAGAAACTGGTGATGAGAAGGGTAATTATTATATTTGCCTCTATCTTACCCATTCCATTGCTTTTCTTTCCTTTCTGAAGCTCTGAGCCTTCTGTTATCATTTCTTTTCTGTTTGAAGGACTTCCTTTAGCCACTCTTTAAGGGCAGCTCTGCTAGTGACAGATTCTTTTAGTTTTCTTTGTCTGTGGATGTTTTCATTTCCCCTTCATTTTTTTTTTTTTTTTTTTTTTTTTTTTTTTGGCCGTGCGTGGCTTGTGGGATCCCAGTTCCCGAACCAGGGATTGAACCTGTGCCCTCAGTAGTGAAAGCACAGAGCCCTAACCACTTGACCACCAGGGAATTCCCTCCCCTTCATACTTGAAGCATATTTTCACTAGATATACAATTCATGGTTGACAGTCCTTTCCTTTCAGCTTTGAAAAATGTGCCACTTCCTTCTGGCCTCTGTGGTTTCTGATAAAAAATCCAATGTTATTCCAATTGTTTTTCCCTTATAGGCAATGTGTTATTTCTCTCTGTCTGCTTTCAAGAGGTTTTTTTTTTTTTTTTTTGGCCACTAGTTTTTAGAAGTTTAATCATGTGTGTGGTATAGTTTTCTTTGGATTTATCTAATTTGGGGTTCACTCAATTCCTTGAATGTGTAGGTTTATGTCTTTTGCTAAATTTGGAAAGTTTCTTTTTTTTTTAAGTTGAAGTATAGTTGATTTTCAATGTTGTGTTAGCAAAGTGATTCAGTTGTACATACATATATATATATTTTTTCAGATTATTTTCCATTATAGGTTATTACAGAATATTGAGCACAGTTCCTTGTGCTCTACAGTAGGTCCTTGTTGGTTATCTATTCTATAAATTTGGGAAGTTTCTGCCATAAGTTCTTCAAATATTGTTTTCAGCCTGCTGCTCTTACTCCTCTCCTTCTGAGATCCAATTCCACAAACGTTAGATTTATTTGATTTTTTTTTATACTCCCACAGGTCCCTGAAGCTTTGTTTGTTTGTTTATTTGTTTCCTTCAGTCTACTTTCTTTTGGTTGTTCGGATTGGGTAATTTCTACTCTTCTGTCCTCTAGTTCATGGACTCCTTCTTCTGTCATATTCACCGTGTTATTGAGCCCATTCATTGAGTTTTAAATGTTGGTGTATTTTTCAGTTCTATAATTTCCATTTGTTTTTTTAAATAACTTCTTTCTATGCACTAAGATTTTCTATTTTTCTGATGTTTCAAGATAATTTGTAACTGGTTGTTGAGACATTTTTGTGGTGGCTGCTTCACAGTCCCTGTCAGATAATTCCAATATCTGATTCATCTCACCATTGGCATCTGTTGGTAGCTTTTCCTCTCATTGAAATTCTTGGTTTGACGAGTGGTTTTCAAAATTGTAATCTAAACAGTTTGGAAATTATGTTGGGAGCCTCTGGATCCTATTGAAACATTCTGTTTTAGCAGGCAGTCATCCTGCTTGTGTTCAGGTGCAGCACATCCTGGCCTACTTTTGTGGGTTGTGGTTCCAATGATAATTTAGTTTTCAGAGCCCTTGCATTTCTGTTCTGGTATGTTCTGTTCATCTGTGCCACTGGAGCTTCCACTTAATTCGGCTGGTGCTGCCTGTGGGAACAGAGATTCTCCAGGCTGCCTAGAGCCAGTGGGTGGGGAGTGGGAGAGGTTGCACCCATGGGATAGAGGATGCTTCTGAGACCTGGTACCTCCAGGGTTCCTGCTCAATCTCTGTTGACTTCCGCATGGGAGGATAGATGGACTTCTCCTAGCTGCTGGGTGGGAGGGTGGGGAGACACTGGGCCTGGGCTGCTTTCTGCCACTGGTTGGCCAGGAGTTGCTGGACCTGGGCAGCCTTATACTACTGGGGGGTGGGGGGATGGGAGACTCCAGGCTGCAGTCTTTTTTCCTCAATCCGAGGTCTTCAGCCAGCCTACCTTTCTCTTCCTACCAGAGGTCTATAATTGGTCTCTTGTATTATTTCCCTGTTTTTAAAGTTATATTTAATTGGAGGAGCAGGAAGAGATGAGTCTACATTATCTACTCTCTGGTGTTATTTTTAATTTTTTAATGTATGTAATTATTTATTCAATGTATTTTTAAAACAGATTTAATGAGATATAACTCACATACCCTACAGTACACTCATTTAAAATGTGCAATTCAAGGGACCCTGGCGGTCCAGTTTCTAGGACTCAGTGCTTTCCCTGCTGTGGCCTGGGTTCAATCCCTGGTCAAGGAACTAAGATGCCACAAGCCATGTGGTGTGGCCAAACAAACAAACAAACAAACAAAAACTAAAATTCAATAGTTTTTAGTATATTCACAGGGTTGTGCAACTCTTACCACAGTCAATTTTAGAACATTTTCATCATCCCCCAAGAAACCCCGCACCCACTTGCAGTCGCTCCGCATTCCCTCCTGCTGCCCCAGGCCCTGGCAACCACTAACCTGCTTTCTGTCTCCATGGATTTTCCTGTTATGGGCATTTCATATAAATGGCATCATATGATATGTGACCTTTGTCTCCTTCACTTTGCAGGACGTTTTTCAAGATTCATCCCTGTTGTAGCACATTTCAGTACTTCATTTCTTTTTATTGCCAAATAATATTCCATTTATGAATAGACCACATTTTATTTATCCATTGATCAGTCGATGGACATTTGGTTTGTTTTCACCTCTTGGCTATTATGAGCAATACTGCTATGAATGTTCATGTACAAGTTCTGTGTGGACGTGTGTTTTCCTTTCTCTCGGGCACATATCTAGGAGTGGAATTGCTGGGTCACGTGGTTTGCATTTTGAGGGACTGTTCAACTGTTTTCTGAAGCAGCTGTACCATTTTTCATTCTCACCAGCAATGCAAGCAAGTTCCAATTTCTCTACATCCTCACCAATACTTGTTATTATCTGACTTTTTTTGTTTTGTTTTGTTTTGTTTTTGGCTGCACCACTTGCCTTGCAAGATCCTAGTTCCCTGACCAGGGATCGAACCCACACCCCAGCATTGGAGTCCTAACCACTGGACCGCCAGGGAATTCCCCTGACTTTTTGATTGTAGGCATCCTAGAGGGTGTGAGGTGATATCTCACTGTGGTTTTGATTTGCATTTCCACGATGGCTAATGATGTCGGGCATCTTTTCCCGTGCTTATTGGCCATCTGTATGTCTTCTCTGGAGAAGTGTTTATTCAAGTCCTTTGCCCATTCTTTAATTTGGTTATTTTTTGGTTATTGAGTTGAGGACTTTGGCTTTTATTCTGAGAGAGATGGGGAGCCATTGGGAGATTCCAAGCGCAGGAGTGATAGTATCACGTGGGTTGCTCTGCAGAGAAAAGCTACAGAGATGCCAGGGGGAAGCAGACAGACCAGTCTGGACACCTAGATAATCTAGGTGAGGGATGACAGTGATTGGCCCTGGGGTAGTAACAGGAGGTGGTGACAGAGGGCTGGTTCTGGACATGTTTTGAAGGGGGAGCTATCAGGCTTTGCTGATGGATCAGATGTGAACAGTAGGACTGCCTCTCACTCAGGAAGCATGGCATCACCATTAGCTGAGAAGGTGGATTAGTACCCTGGGAGCCGTGACAAAGCGCCACAGACCCGGCGGCTTCAACCCCAGAGGCGCGTTGTCTCCCAGTCCTGGAGGCTGGATGTCTGAGATCAAGGTGTCGGCAGGGCTGCCTCCCCCTGAAGCCTGTCGGGGAGCATCCTTCCTGCCTCTTCTGGCTCTGGTGGCTGTCACTCTTGGCGTTCCTCCAGCCTCTGCCTCTGTTTGTCACATGGCCTTCTCCCTGGAGCCTGTGTCTGAAGTTCCCTCTACTTATAGGGACACCAGCCATTGGGTCAGGGCCCACTCCAGTGAGTTCTTAACCTGCTCACCTGCAGGGACTCTATTTCCAAGTAGGGTCACGTTCACAGGTACCGGGGATTAGGATGCCAACCTGTCTTTTTTTGGGGGGGACACAATTCAACCCGTAACAGATGGGGAAGACAACAGGGGGGCAGTTTGGGGATGGAGGCCAAGAGCTGAGCATCAGGCATGTTAAGTTTGGGATGTCCGTCAGCCATCACAGCGGAGACGCTGAGGAGGCAGCAAGATGCAGGAGCTGCCAAAGCATGATTTTCAAAAGTTAAAAATATGGCTCTACGGCTCTAAAGTGAGGATGTGTCCAAGGTTTATTTAAATCATTAACAAGGAAACCAGCATAATGGTGAAGCTGGTTGAAAACATTGGGGAGAGGGAAGGATTTGTAGTGGCTGAAGAAAAGCTTGCTTGAGTAAGTTCACCAATGTAGATTAAAAGCTGGTTAATGTTCTACAGGGCCGTAAAACTGCAACCTCTTCCAACTAATCTTTTCTACAGAAATAATTTTTGTCACTTACCGCTGGGCAAAGTTCATTTGCATTGCTATCAGACAAGAATCACATTGCCTAGCCATCCATTTTCTACAAGTTAAAATCTACCCTTACCGTGTTATTAAAAATCATAATCAATAGTAAGTAGGCAGTAAAACAGATGCACACCCTAGAGAATCAAAAAGTACCCGTGGTGGGTCTGCTGGACCACACTCAGCCTCCCACCGAAAGGACCCACCGCCATCCTCTTACCCATTCACGTTTTGGAAAATTTTTATTAGTCCCCACAGGTGCTGAAAGAAGTGGCGATTAGCACATCTGAGCCTCCTTGTTGGGCTGGTACAACTAAGCCACGTGGGGTTTCCCAAGGACCAAGGCCGCAAAATCCACTTCTGTCTGGAGACATCATCATGAGGAATGTACGGCTGAGCCGCTAGCATGTCTGAGGTTCACATTGGTCTTGCCTGCAGCACCTGTGCGTGTAGGTGAGTTTCTCTTTTCACAAGGACCTAGGTGTCTGCCACAGTTCCTGTCTGCCTGACTACTTGTGAAGCTGAGACCTGATACAACGTCGTTCGGGCACTGGTGTGGGTCTGTGGGCACTGGGTCAACGCAGAGGTTACGATCCTTGTTCCGAAGGTGGGTGTGTCACCCTGAATCACAGGAGACGTGCTCTCAAATACGACACCCGCTTAAGGCCGCAGCGGCACAATCATTTTGTCTAATTATATACTGGTAAAAAAGAGGACTGATTTCTATTGAACCTATGCAAATAACTAGATTTCTATTAAAATTGAATAGTCAGTAAAAACGATTTTTCCTGAATTCCGACGTAGGAAAATACCATTTAAAAAATGTTTCATTTGGGCTTCCCTGGTGGCGCAGTGGTTGAGAATCTGCCTGCCAATGCGGGGGACACGGGTTTGAGCCCTGGTCTGGGAAGATCCCACATGCCGCGGAGCAACTAGGCCCGTGAGCCCCAATTACTGAGCCTGCGTGTCTGGAGCCTGTGCTCTGCAACAAGAGAAGCCGCGATAGTGAGAGGCCCGCCCACCGCGATGATGAGTGGCCCTTACTTGCCGCCACAAGAGAAAGCCCTCGCACAGAAACGAAGACCCAACACAGCCATAAATAAATAAATAACAGAACTGCAAAAAAAAAAAAAAAGTTTCATTTGTTTGCAAAAGCACAGTCTACTAAATGTAAGGTTAGAGATAGAAGAAAGAAGAAGGATTTTATCTTACTTCTGCCAGAAAATAGAAACTTACGAAAAAGCACCAATACCTGTGTCCTTGCCTTTGTCGGGCCCAAGCTTTCCGCTGCAGATATAATGGGGTGGGGGTGGGAGGGCTACAGAGCCAGAGGAGGCAGGGACGTCCCCAGAGCTGAGCTCTGGGCTGATGCATCTAACTGAGGGCCGTGTTGCTTGATGCGTCTGGGGCCAACTGTCTGGCTGCTATAGCCCGACAGACAATCGGGCTGGAGCCACCAGGTGAAAGCATAGAGGCTTCTCCCTGTTGAGTTATAAACATAGAAAGGGGGAAGGACAGAATGAGATCTGTCATGTTAGAACTGAAGCTATCAGTATGAGCTCAAGGCTTGTTTATAGATATCGGAAAAGATACAGGTGTGTGTTTGCGTGTGCACACACTTACACACTCCAAGCTCTCTCTGCTGAGTGCAAATGGAATCACACTTTGTATTATCATTATGACATTATATTTCTCCTGTTCAGCATCACGCGTCTGAGATTCAGCCACGTGGATCCAAGTGGTGCAATTCATTCATTTCAATCGCTGCATGCTAGTCCATTGTGTAGACGTATCTCACTTTATTCATTTTATTGTCCACATACACTTAAGGGTTCCCCCCCAGTAGTTTTGCTATTAAAAACAGTGCTGCTTTGAATGTTGACGGGTCTCCTGATGGGTCAGTGCAGGTTTCTCTGGCATGCAGCTAGGCAGAGGATGTACCTAGGAATGTATGTTGGCTTAACCCTAGAGCTGGGAACAGGTGTGCACATCGAGGCAGCTTGCATCTTCCCAAACGGCCACAGTCACTTCTCCCTGCCACGTGCTCCTCTTAAAATGTGACTCTGACACTTCTTTCCACAGGAACTAGGGGTTGTTGTCCCCCTATCTACTGAATCTGGACAGGTTTGTGCACAAGTGATGCTACATGATGTCTGAGGCTATGATATAAAAAGTCATACTGGGCCCACCTGGTTCTCTTGGGACTCTTGCTCTTGGAACCTGGCCACCCTCCCTCGAGGACGTCCCCCAGGCCCTTAGCCCACAGCCTGAACCAGCTTGCCAGCCACATGGGTGCACCATCTTGGATGTGGCCTGTCCAGCCCCCAGTGGAGATGCCCCAGCGGTTGCAGCGTGGAGTAGACCAGCTGTGCTGCTGAATCTTCCCCAAATAGCAGATCCATGAGTGAAAGAAGCGATTGTTGTGGTTTCGAGCTACAAAGTTTGGGGGGTGGTTTGTTATGCAGCAACAGCTAACTGATGCACACACCCGATTTCTTTGGAGAATGCCATATTGTTTACAAGATAATTGTACCGCCTGATGCTCTGGCTAGCAGGGTATGTGTCCAACTTTAACGGTTGTGCTCATTCAGTGTGGTTTTAGTTTGCATTTCCAAAACTGCTAGTGAGGTTATTGGCCCTTTCCACGTTCTTCTCTGCAAGGAGACTGATCACAGGATTTGTCCATCATTCTTTTGGCGTGTTTTTCTTTTTCCAATGGATTTGGAAGGGTTCTTTATATATCCTGGATACTAATCACTTACAAGGTGTATGTGTTGCAAATACTTCCTAGCTTTTGGTTCTTCATTCTCTTTATGGTCTTCCGAGGAACATAAGTTGTATGACACATACTTTCCATCCACAGTTTTAGGTTTGTTTCTCGTATTTAACAGTATTTACATTCTAATTAGAGAGTCTCTGTCTTTTTCTTTTTTTTTTTTTTTTTTGTGGTATGTGGGCCTCTCACTGTTGTGGCCTCTCCTGTTGCAGAGCACAGGCTCAGGACGCACAGGCTCAGTGGCCATGGCTCACGGGCCCAGCCGCTCCGCGGCATGTGGGATCTTCCCGGACCGGGGCACGAACCCACGTCCCCTGCATCGGCAGGCGGACTCTCAACCACTGCGTCACCAAGGAAGACCGAGTCTCTGCTTTTAATAGATGAATTTTTAATTCCATCATGTCTCTGATTACTCAAACGTTTGAATTTACTCCTGTCACCTCATGCTGTGTTCTTCATTTATCATGTATTTTTCTTTCTCTCTTTTCTGCTTTTTGTTGGCACTGTCAATTTTTCTTCATTTCAGTTTTCTCCCAGCTGTTTTGAAATCTGTAAATTCTGTATCCATTTTTCTCATGGAAACTTGGGTATTTCAGACTTTTTTTCTATCGATTCTAAAATCCTCTAGCTATACAAGAACTTCCGTGCACCTTTCCTTCCTGCTCCTCCTTCCCCTTGCCATATGCAATGTTGAGCTCATGCGGGATTTTCTCTCAAGTTGTTATTTGACTTTCTTTGAGCAGTCTAAGCTAGTTTCTTTGTTGGCGTCCAGGTCTTTCTCTTGGGTTCACGTCTCATTTTGCTTGGGAATGTCTTTCAGTCCTTTTTGAGACTTAGTGTATGGATATTTTCAGGTTGTGAAGACACCTTTATTTTGCTGTCTCACTTGAATGCTAGTTTCACTGTGTATGGAATTGTAGGTTCAATTCTTTTAGGATGGGCTTCCCTGGTGGCGCAGTGGTTAGGAATCCACCTGCCAATGCAGGGGACATGGGTTCGAGCCCTGGTCCAGGAAGATCCCACATGCAGCGGAGCAACTAAGCCCGTAAGCCATAACTACTGAGCCTGCACTCTAGAGCCCGCAAGCCACAACTACTGAGTCCACGTGCCACAACTACTGAAGCCCGTGTGCCTAGAGCCCGTGCTCCGCAACAAGAGAAGTCACTGCAATTAGAAGCCCGTGCACTGCAACGAAGAGTAGCCCCCGCTCACCGCAACTAGAGAAAGCCAGCGCAGCAATGAAGACCCAACACAAACAACAACAACAAAAAATATTCTCTTAGGATTTTGACAGTTTCACCCCTTTGCCAACTGACAATCAGGTTCAGTCTGATTAAAGAAGATCCTTCCTCTCTGAAGGGTTTTTAGAAAATAACTTTATTCTTCTTTCCAATTTAATTTTTTTAATTACAAAATTTATTCATTTATTTGGCTGCACCAGGTCTTAGTTGCAGCGTGTAGGATCTTTTTTTTTTTTTCCAGTTGCAGCATGCATGTGGGATTAAACCCTGGCCCCCTGCATGGCAGTGCAGAGTCTTACCCACTGGACCACCAGAGAAGTCGCCCTCTGACGGTTTTTAGGCTAGTCTCTTCATCCTTGGAATTCCAGAAGGCCACTATGACATGCCTTCACTCCTGCTGGGCGTCACTTCGGTTGGTGGAGAAGCCATCCTCTCCGCCTCTCTCCTGTTTCCTGTCTCTTTTCTTTCACAACACGGCCTCCAGCTTCCTGGTTTGCATCTGCCTTGCCTGGGGTGGAGAAGGGTGCAGGCCCCGTGTGCTTGCTCTCCACTGACTCAGATAGCAGACATCTGGAAGAGCGGAGGACATACTTGCGGCTCCTGCCTCTGGTGCAGACGTAGTCGGGGCCCACTGCTGGGCCTGCCTCACCTTGGCTCAAGGATGTGTCTGGAGGTGGGACCTTGCTCAGGAACTTGACCACTGGGTGACCTTGGCTGAGTGACCCTCCAAGCCTTCACTTTCCTACTTGTACACTGGATGCAATGGGGCACAAGTTCTGGTCAGCAAAGGGCCCCCAGCTAGGACACTTGGGTGGACGTGGCCAGCCTGCTCTCGATAGCGCGTTTGCTGGAAGAGCCTAAGCAGCGGAGCCCGCCCTGCCTGCCCACGCGGGGTAAGGTCTCACCGGCTCAGAAGGACCCAGCCTCTGCCTGGGGGGCATGTTCCTTCTCCTACTGAGGGGCCTCCCCTGCTTGTCGGGGAGGGGGGCACCTGCTGCTCCTTTTCCCCAGGGCTGGGCTCCTTCACGGCCACTGCACTAACCTCAAATCCTCACGGAAACCAAGGAAACATCTAGGTTTCTCCCTCCTCCCAAAGCCCTTCGGGACTAATCTCGGGATGAAAACTGTCATGAAACCTCTGAATTTTGGCGTTGAAGCAAAGGCCACAGTGGAAGCAGCCAGTGGCAGCGACCAAGACTCAGGTCTCTAAACTACTGCTGCACAGGGGCCCTTTCTGTTCTACCTGGAGCCCAAGCGGGTGGTCCGGACCTATAGGCCCCATGCCAGGCCTGTAACTCCTGAAGGAGGGCCAGCTGAGCCGCCCTGCAGCCCCCATTCCCCAGTGCGCCCCGCTGCTTCCCCCACCCCTACCAGCACCCGCTTCCTCTCCACCAGCGAATAATCCTGCCCAGCACGGGCCCCTCAGGCTCCCCCCAATCCCCTGCCTGGCCCAGCCCGACCCCATGGGGCGCCCACTCGGGTCTCCACCACGCTGTGGTCTGGGCTCCCTTTGCCCCACGCCCGGCACTCCCCCAGGTCCCCCGAACACTCAGCCGGGCCTGACCCATCCAGTGCCCTCTTCTCCCGCTCTGGCCCCCACCTCTTCATCCCCTCCCCAGGGCCCTCCCCTCACGCCCCTCCCCCGCCTGGCACCCCCTCAGATGCCTCCAGACCCGGTGTGCGGCACCCCTCCCTCAAATCCCGCGCCCCCTCAGGCGCGTCCCAGCCCCTCTGCCCAGCGCCAGCTGCCCTCTCCCTTGAACGCCGCGCCCCCTCAGGCCTCCAAGCCCCCGTGTCCGGCGCCCCCTTAGATGACCCCCCCAGCCTCGGTGCCGGCGAACCCATCGCCCGCCCGGCGCCCCTCTCCCTTGAACCCCGC